ATCACAATTGCACAATCGGCAAGAATTAGAAAGCTAAGTACATAATGTTTCGTGCCAGTACGCTATTTCTACTTTTTTTAAGATCGATGTTTTTAATTCTAGACTACGTGTAATACTACTGTAATATCCAAGATTTAAAACAAATATAATGGCACATACATACCTGAAAATTCCAATGAACCAACCGAACAGCCAAAATTGCAGATAAACCGGCCAGGAAATAGACTAGTTGCAGCTACGGATCACGACAGATCTCCTGGTCAATGGTTGTACACTTCATATATATGCACTACACCGCGCCCGCAATCATCAATCTCGGGAAGTGGCGCGGTGTTCGAAGTTGCGACGCGCAGGTGTGCGGCAGATTCCGCCTCCAGTTCTCTCCTCCATCGGCCCCGCCCCAGCAGACACAGGCACTGCGCACATGCATGGTGCCTACTGGAGCTGTTCGTCACGCTCTTCTCCGGCATTCACCTGGAGTGGATGGGAAAACCTGCGGAAAATTACCGTTGAGGGCAGCCGGCCGCAAGAATTCTGCTCCAGGCAGCAACCTTGGAGCCCGTAAAAAAGACGTTAAGAGGTTTCGAGGCTACAGAAAACGTATACCATCTCTAATTATGTTAATTACCATGAAACAAAGAATTTCCCTTTAAAAACTACAAAACAGTTTAAACAATGGACGTAAGATCATTTGCCCCTTTTTGGCTATCGCCAAAACTTCCTTGACTTGTTGTCCTTACTTCTTCAATACACTCGAAAATCTCACTAGATGTGAAGGTGCATTTGGCCTTGAAAACGCTTAGAGCAAGCAGGGCCACCAGTGCACGCGCAACACCTTCGGGCCCGTAGCGTTCGCGCGCACTGCCCCGCTAATAGCTCCAACGCAGAGAGGCAGGATCAGGGAAGAATAGGGAAATGCTGCGGGAGGGGAAGCGAACTGGCTGTTTTTCGCAAAGATGTATTTAAAACTAGCAGAACCCGGAACCGTTGCCCTGCTCTATTTCTCTCCCTATCTCTTCTGCAACATAAAAACCTCCGCGAAAAAACACGTAGATGGGCCAAATTTCATGGATATCGGTCACAAGGCGTCGGGTTCACCGCTGGTACATACCAACATCCATTGGACGCTGGTTATAGTGAACTCGTATACAGTGAGCTAGCGGTTATAGTGAACTTTGGTCCGCTTTCTTACACTACAAATAAGCATAAGAAGTATGCAGAATGAGGTATAGAGAAAGCACGAACTATGGAGAATCTAGAGAAATCCCTATTGAAAAATGTTCGAAACAAACAATTGAAAATGACTGATTTTTTAAAAAATGTGTTACGTCTACATAACTTAACGCGTCTCCAAGCCCTTCGGGGGGCGTTGAGCGCTGTGCGCTTGGAGTAATCCTCTATTAATTTTGTGCGCTTTTTCCTCTAAGAGTAATCCTCTAATACTAGTATATCATGTCACGTCTCGTCGTAGTCACTTGTCAAGAGGACCGCCAGGTAGCATCTCCGCGTACGCGCTCCTGCGTCACTACCCAGCGGCCAATTGGGAAAGAATTAGGATTTGAGGAGGGTTTGAGACACTTCACAGGTGTTGGACTAGACCTTGTGAAGCAGCCAAACTGGTTTTGTTAGAACTAATTTCACATGAGATTGTCCGGAATTCAACGAGAATCGAACCCACGCCTCCTTGTAAGGGTAAAAGATATTGAAAATGTCTGTTCGTGCTATATTAACAAAATCAATAATTGTGGAGAAATTCTATTTAATTTTGACATCATCGGATATGTGAACCTCTGATATGGTGAACCAAAAATGTTAGTTCCTAGAAGTTCGCTATATCCGGAGTCGTCTACTTACAGAATACAACACTTCGTACTTCCCGGGCTTATTTGTTACGGTTAGTACATAATAATGTAATATTATTTGGTCCGGCACAATTGTTTCCAAATGGCAAAATTTTTGCCAACGCTGGGATTCAAACTCTTGTTTAGAACGACACGGGCACATTCACTGAACCAAATTGCTCAGACCGCATTACAATCTTCCCGACGACGCTTTGGAAAGTAAATTGAAGAAGTGCAACTCACGTAATTTAATATCTTTTTTAAGATCAGATTGTATTGAAAAAAGTCCTACCTTCGATGTAGTTGTAGAAGACACCGAACAAATTGTAAAATTCCAAAATTTTTAAAATCTCTGTGAGTTCTACGAAAACGGATCTGCTGATTATTATAAGCGAACTTTGGTCTCTACGAGATAAGGAAGTAAAGTAAATCTAATTGTGCTACAACAGCACATATTTTCCCGCATTATTTCTGCCCTGCTATATTATACTACTACATGAACCTGCTAAAGTGTTTTCAACAGGCAATTTTTTTTCTGTGCCCTCACTCAAACTTAGGTCCTCCTAGTTAACTCACTTTGCACCTGACCTCTATGCTATGACAACGTAAGATTTTCAAACTAGGGCCAACGCTTACAAATCGGATGCTTAAAAACAATGACAAACAAATGTTAGTAAGAAAACCCGTGGCTCTTGTTTCAACTGTTGGAAACATGCTATTCAGTGGGAACATTATCAAATTATCTGTTCCTTCTCTTGGCACCCTTCCCCCTTGCACAGGTGAAGAGTGGCAAAGCTAGTTCGAACAGCAACAGGCATACATTAGATCATAAAGAAGAACATTAAAGATTCATTGGGAAATAAGTGCTTCTTTGTTACATACATACATACATACATACACATAGCCCATTTTATTTGTATTTCCACTCAAATTATGTATATGGAAAATATAATAATCTAGGGACAGCACAATTAAACCAAAAAAGATTTGACATAAGTGATGAATTTCTGTCTGTGATGTAAGTCTGAAAATGGGGTCGACCACAAGGTGAATGGTACCTATTTTTGTGTTTTTTGAGGAGGAATCTAATGAAAATAGTCATTTTATTCCTAAATCAAGCCTTCACCTTAATTCTAAACAAAGTTGTTAATAAATAGAGAAAGTACAATTTTCAGAGAAAATAGTCCCTTAGGTTGGTCTTAAGTATCAAAAATATGATAAATTACTGTATATCTTACAAAATTGTGCAAAGAATATATTTCATGTTACATTTCAAAAATTCTAAAATCCACTGAGATAAAGTGGATATAGGGTTAAATGTGAAATAAGAAGGAAAACCCTTTTTTTCATGAAATGTCACTAAAGTATGATAAACAATTATAAAAAGTTGTTATATTGGGATAGAATAAGATGATATCATCCTCTTCTAGTTTGGGCATGGGCCAAATTCACCAAACGTATTCCGCTATACCGTTTTGCCTTACATGTGTAGGAACTACTCTATTTTAAACACACATTTTATGTCTAATTGTTTATAAAATTACAATTTATCAATGTCCACAAGTCAGATTGTCACAAGAGTTGAAAACATCTCACTCTTTTATTTCATTTATCTGAAATTAATTCAACAAAAAATGTTTAATTCAATATATCTCATTGAAAAGGGTCAACTTATACTTTTCACAGAATAGACTTCCTGTGGAGCACTGCGGTAATTCGTGTTTCTAAAGGGTGCTACACCAACAGACAAGTTCTTCCAGGGCCACATACTCATTTCCAGATCCCAATTAAGAGTATTTAAAACTTGATGTTTTTATCGTGTAAAAATTCTCAACCTTTTTAAAAGTGGCACACATTGTTTAACATACTTGCCTAAAAGGGCATGAATAGATAGTTTTTGTACACTTCAAATTCATAATTACAATACACATTATATATCCTATGAATCACTGATTATGAATTTGAAAGTTTTTGCTTGTTTCAGAGTAAAGATTTCAATTTTTTAAGAAAATTAATTCAATACCAGAATCAATTTTACTTGCATGCTTTGAATCTCTGTAACAGGTAAATTAAAATTATAACATTCCTTGAAATTTCAGATCACACTTTCATTTCATTATCACAGTGGCTGTCAAAGTAAAGAGATTATTATGAACCTATGTTCTCTTGTTTTTCCAATTTAAGAGAAGCTTTATGTATTTTTAATTGCATTCACCCAAATGTCTTCATAAAATTGTTCTGAATACCTACTTTTTTTGCAAACTTGACAGAAGGGTAAAGTTTGGTAATAATTTGTGACAACTTAGCTTGCGAGATTAGGTTCATCTACTAAGAAATGTTAAAGGGATGTTGCCTCCAATTTTTATTACATCCTGCAAATAGCTTACATAGCATATTACAAGGTGGTTTTACTTTTGCCTTATGTCATGTATTGCCTTTTTAGGATGCAAGCTCAAAGTGAAAGTTACGTAATACATACAACATATTCTTATTAGCAACTGTTGTGCAAAAACTCACCATTAGGTCCAGCTCCCCTTACAATGCGTAACTGAGCAAAATGATATTATTTTGTAATTCATATGAGTGAATTTACTTACGTATCTTCAACTTACTTGAGTAGTCACTAGTTCTCTAAAATTGTATCTATATAAGAGCTGCAAATGCTGATGGCATTAAAAGGATAGCTAAGCACTCACCTTAAGGAGGTGTCGGATTAAGAAATTTTCTAGCAAGATTTTCACTTGTTTGTCTTTTCTCAAAATTAGAAGGCTAACAAAACTTTGAGGGCTCAGATACAGACGTGCCTGTGGGTAATTCAACACTGACATCATGAATTCATGCCAAAGCATTTTACATAATTCACAAAAGAAGGGTTTCATTGTGTGAACTGACTAAGAGTACTACAGGCATTATGTAAGTTTTTTAGGGTTCAAGGCATTTGCAATACTATTTACACAGCAAGAGCAAAACTGACTCAGAAATAATATTATCATGGATCACTATTCGAGTAGTGAGTAATAAGAAATGCCTTCCAGAGGTTCTGATTGAAAATCAAACAAGTTAATTAACTTAATTCTCTTAAAGAAGTAAAGAATGTAATAAGCCATCTTTATCTATGAATAATAATTTTAAGGTAAAAATCAATAAAAGATGGAAAAGTATTCTTTCAATACAATATTTTTATTTAAAAGAAGAAAAATACATATTTAAAATGTTCTTGAAAAGAACCCAAAAAGAATACTGCATATCAATGCAGAGCTCATCATTTAAATACACTATCTTAGTTTAATGTGCATATTTACACCATCCTTACCAGAATCCATTGCTCCTGGTATAACAATACACTGTAAATCAACTTTTTTAAAGTGATTAAAACATCCACTCCTTGTAAAAAGTCTCTTTGGAACTACACCCCCTCTCCATTCTTTCAGAGCCTTAAAAAATATAATCTCTCACATATTTGCTGAATAGTGAATTGGAATATGGAATGTTGTAATTAATTACACATCCAGTGCACTTAAAAATTTTTCCATTTTCTCCGATGTAAAGAAAAAATGTCAAATTCTCTGCTTAGAATCCTTGTAGACTGCATGCATTTGCCATTCTTGATCTCATTTAAATACTTTTCTTTCTTTTTCAATATGGTACAAACTGTCGATGAACTTAGTGAATATTTGGCACAAATATCTTTAACAGTACATCCTCTTTCATGACTGCTGATGACTTCATATTTTTTTTCCAAAGTAATTGGATTTCTTTTTCTCAGTCTAATAGTGTCTGAATTTTCAAAACTGCTTCTTTGTGGCTCGCTGAATGAAGAACAACCTCCTGGTAACAATGACAATTCATTCACAAAAAAGTTCCATGAACTACACTAGTGGTGCGCTTTCAATGAAAACACAGAGCAAGAAAATGTGTGTTCTTAGTTTAGAAATGGGAATTAGACACTTTTCATTACTTCTCCCAAAAATCAATATAGCTTTTCTGCTCCACTAAAGGAAATGTGCAAACACATTCCTTCACTTCTTCACTCTGAGCACCTCCCCATAACATACTCTGTTATGGTGTTCAGGTGATCACACTTTTGTATCAAGGTGTGGAAGAAAACATCATGATATTAAATTTCTTTGCCAGTATTTGTCTGAGATCAGAAAAGTCTTGTTAATCCAATCATTCAGTTGAATTTTCTCATCCATGAATTATAAAACATCTCCAAACTCCAAAATTCAGCTGTCAATTTGCAGTTACAGTCCAGTAAATAAATAGGTTTTTAAAAAATGCAACTCTATAACCTACAGCAAGAAATTTGTGAAGAGTTTTTATTACTAAACTACTGTCTATAAAAACAACTTTACGAGATGCTTAGGATGATGAAGACATTTTTAATATAAATAACACTCTTCAACATCAAAACTTGGAATGATGTGTTATGATTTCCCACAATTGAAAGCAAGAAGGAAAGGAAGAAGGCAGGGCATCCATCAATACACCAGAAAATATTTTTGAAGATAATTCTGCACTCATCTACAAAGAACTTATTACTAGGAGCACCAATGATGTGGATAATACAAACTAAGAATAATCTGGTATTTTAAGGCCTGGTAAAGACATGACTGTCAAAATTTGTTTCATGATACAAGACAATCATGCTGAACATTGAGATTTGTCTGTGAAGCAGTTTTTCACCTTGATGACAACGTACGAGCTCAAACATCTACCTTTTTAACCAGATTTGATTCCTTCAGATATATTTATTTTTCTCAAAGCAAAGTCTACCTGAAAAGGTAAAAACCTACATGGGCTGTTCTTTGAGCTGTATAGGTACTGAGAACTCAAGGATTTCCAGCAAGCAATACATTAACAATAGTCAATAATAAACTCTGAATATAAACTATGTACATATTTTGAGTAAAATACTTTTCTGTACAAATTAAAATTTTTGGATATCTATCACACCCAAGTCTGGCACAGGTTACTAGGCTATCACTAGAACATGCCGTGAATAAAATGATTGTACAATGATAGCATATTCTAATTAAGATAAGAGTAAACTCCTGGGCTCCCTCAATTTTTAGAACAACCTGAATGGAATGGAACAGAAATTATTTTTCTGGCAAAAATCTCTGTATCGTTACAAAATACAGATATTTTGAAAGCAAAGAAACGAGATATAAAAATGATGACACATCACAGCAAGAACCTTAAAAATTTTTAAACAAAAAACATCCATTGCAATTTAATTGTGTTAAGAATTAATTTTAGGCAAGAGGAAAATATAGTTCATGGAGATACTAAGAAATGAAATGAACCAAACAATTCTCTGAGATAATTATGATTTCAATATGGAGTGTTAAGATCTGACTGATCAATAGATGACAGTGTTGAAGACAGTTTTTAAAGTTTTGTCGTGTTATCTGTCCATTTTACCAAAGCTTCAAACTGAGTTTCCAGGGACAAAACTGTTATGAAAATTCAAATTCCCCAAATGCTTTTTAATGTTATAACATCAGCACCAGCGTCTGCCTGGAAACTTGCTGACGAGCGCCGGAAGCAATGTCCTGTATACATATTCTCGTCAGGCAGTTTTAAAAATTTTGCTATCATCATAGGCATCTTTCCAAAAGAATTTTTTCCTACAGGTTGGACAGAACATTTTTGGTTACGGTAACTAACAAAAAAATGCCTGTGTGTTGTAACATGTGGGCGTAATGCCATGTATTTTCTCACTATCTGCAGCAACTCAACTCCATTTTCTTTCTCAACAATAGTGAACAATCGATCCTTATTTGTTCTTGAGTCAGGAACTTTAACTACGAAAACAGAATCTCTGTCTTGCACATGATCAATGCTCATGTTGTATAATTCGTCCAAACGGCACCCACCAGCAACTCCCATTATCATTACAACCTGCAGAAGAAAGCCAATTTGAAGATACATCCAAGAGGAAACAAGTACAAAAGAACAGATCATTGGCAAAAACCTCACCTTCAATAACAAAAATTCTTCATCACTTGCTTCCTTTAAAAACTTATAGAATTCAAGCTTTGAAAATGTTTTAGATTTTTTTGGCGTGTGGCCTTCTCCCTGTCGCTTCAAAAATGTGAGCAATTTATAATATCTGTAAATATCAATATTAATTCAATCATCCACCATGTATTGTCAACCATGTTCCCCAGATAAATTCTAACATACTTACTTGGAGATATCAACATTTTCTTTAACTCTCAAAGTTGCCCTCAACATTGAATAATAACTCCAAAGCGACTTGTGAGATTGTGATTTACTATTAAAGTAAGAGAGTACAATCTCCTCTGAAGCACCACTCACTTCCCTATCATTCCTCCACTTGCAGAAGTTTCCATATTCCCTCTCGTACACGTGTTTTGATTTCTCAGGCAACAATTTTGTCTCTGCATACTCTGCTTCTTTCAAAATATCTGAAGAACAGATGTATCTTCATCATAATCTACCCAGTACATTGCAAATGCCAAATTTGAAATCTCTTCCACTTTTCTAGCAATCAACCAAGCACCTTTTTACTCTTTCAAGCCATAAATTCACAACCAACAGTCATGCCATAAGCCAGAGAGTCATTTTGCACATTAAATTACAATTGTGCATAGGACTTTCATATAACAGCATTTTTCACTATTATGTCCCTCTTGCTGTTGCATTTGGGCTTTTAAATTTTCTCTTTGGAATTAGAGCAACTGCTTTTCCTTAGAATTTAAATCATCTTTAAAAAAAAAAAAATATACTGTTAAAGACTTCACATTAATTTCTGTTTATTCTATTACAATCTCCATTATAACTTTTGTCAGAAATTAGTAACACTGAAATTTAATGACTAAATATTTTGGTATGAATAAAAGAAAGGTTATTCAGGTCACTAATCAAAACAATTTAAGCCATCTTCTGAACCAACATTTTTAATGTAGTCTAGCAAAAAATCCATTGTACACAGATTCAAATTGCTCATTCCAAGCACAGATTATTTTAACCCTAGAGTGTATACGTGGGTGCTTGAACTACCAGGCGCTTTTCTTTTCAGAGAATAAATACAGAATAATTGGTAGTAATGATGGATTGCAATGCTTAATTTGTAAACAAATGTTGAGAGTAATCAAGTGATGTAATTTCTTTTTTCTTCAGCTCTGGGAGATGCATTTTCTCCCACCCCATCGAGTAGGCTCACTCCCATGGCCAGCAGAGAAGCTCAGGGCCAAGGCAAGCCCAGTGGGTCGCTCCTTGGAGCAGCACTGCGTAAGGGTGCTAGTGCCGTAGTCCCAGTTATGCTGTTTGGGTTGTGATTTTTTCTCTCCCTCTTGGTATTCCATTCAAACATTTCCTCATATATTCATGCCATTGTTGCAAAAACTGTCTATTACTGTAATAGGTGTTTCCACAATTGAGTATGCTCCTACCCAACAAATTTCTGTAAGATTGCAAAAAAGACTTTTGTTCATCGCAATCAGGCTTGGTCAAGATATTACTTTGCCTTGATGTTCAAAAATTCATTCTAATCCTGTCAGCAATGCTCTCAGAAAATTACATAGCTGAACTAAGTGGCAAGCTTCAAGTCACATTTTGTAATGAAACCAAAAGAGATGCATACATTTGATCTGATCGTTCATTTCATCAACAACTCCAAGATTGCAGACCGAGATGATGTAATTTTAAAAGAAGTGAAAACTGTTCAAAGACATCTACGAAACTCGCATATCAGCTGTCAACACAACAGATCAAGCTTGCCAAATACGCTAAATTTAGGGCATCCCAGACAGAAAATGTCCAGGGCATCACCAGGTGGACCAACGTATCCCTCCCCCAACGAACCAAGTCTTTCCAGAACAGAGTTTGAAGCATTTCATGAGGCTCCGAGCCTCTCACTCAGGCAGCTCTGCATTAGATCGACCTTCACCAACATTCCACAAGAACTTCACAAAACAGGAGTGAAACCCTCTAACTTTACAAAGAGAATTTCAAGAAACAATAGAAAAAACTGTTGGTGTAGATAGGAAATCTGATGTTTCATACAAATGAAATTGGCTTACATGGAAGTTGAATTGTTTCTTAATTGTGCTTGTAAATACAAACAAATTTTTTCAATACCAATATTATTGCCTCAAAGTAATCGAAAGTATCCCCAACTGAAAATGGGTCTATTCAAATCTATTATACACACTTTATAATACATGTACATAAAAAAAATGAATGTGGGTGCTCGAACAGCCAGATATGGATTTGTAGAAGTTTTTTTTTTCACGTATGCGCTCTAGGGTTAATTGAAACAACGAGCCTATTGCAAAGCCAATCTGTATTCCGTTATATCTACACATAAAGACAAGTTTTGAAATTTTAATCTATATACAAATTTATATATTTGCTACTGTAACTGCAGATCAAAAATTAAATTTCCTGAAGTAATAATAAGCAAACGTAAAGGAAATGTATTATTTTCAGAAATGATATCCAAGCGTTATGTAATGACATTTTCGTAAAGTCATTTGAAATGGATCCCAGACTAACACTGACATACCCCTACAATAAAAAGTTGCATTTAAAAAATAAACCAAAAAGAGGTCTACTACTAGATATTTTCTTCCTTGTATTCTCAAAATAGTTCTAGATGTTGATATTTCATTCTCCCTATCAGAGCTAAGTAAGAATCTATAACAATATTTCCACATGCAGAAATAGTATACCAACTAAGAACTTTACGTATTTGGCTACTACGTCAATTACAAATAATTAAGATACATGAAAAGAACAGATTAAGGTTTTACTACAAAAAACAAATTCTCACCTGCATTACTCTGCTCGGCCATTAATGTTCCAGAGAATGAGTTATCCGACACTTCTTTCATACTTCCATGGGGAGATGAATACACTAGAAACAAAAATGTTAATTTACATCTTCAAAACTGTAAATTACTCAATCTCCAATTATATTATAAAAATTAAATCAGTAAAATGCATTTTCATTTTCAAATTAAATGAAAAATATAATATAATAATAGAAGAACTCATATATTATAACTTGCTGGTTTTACCGTATCCATAGTGGGTAAAGAAAAACGGTGGAATGAAAATCTTTTTTGTTTTTTACCAACACTTTTTGCTTAAAACTATACTAAACATTTTGCCACAGACAATATAAAATCTTTGCACAAAAAAATTTTGCATCAATTTATATTTCATATAACAAAATTACATCAATTCTATTAGGAAACATCATTATCATCGTCATCGCCATCACCATCACCACCACCACCACCACCCTCTGTTAAGGAGCGGTGCTCCTGTCCTTAGTGGGTAGTAGAGCAGTATTCCTTCATGCAGTGAACACAGTGTATGAAATATAGGTATGTTCACTCCCAGTCTAAAACATAAGCTAATGCGAGGCCAGTTCTCACAGTTCTTGCATATACGCACAGCGATCAAAGTGGGTATATTTTTGGCAAGATGACAGCTGATCTCTTTGTAGTAAAAACTTTATTCCAGTGTGAAGTAAATTTAGAAGTTTCCAAAGTGTGTAGAAAATGCTTCATTAAACCGTGTGATAGAAGTAGTGATTCATTAAACCGTGTGATAGAAGTAGTGATTCATTAAACCGTATGATAGATGCCACATCAAATAGCCTTGTTTTCTGTATCAAAGTGATAAGATAGTAAAAAGAAATAGGTTGAAGTTTTCCCCGCAAAAGAAGAAAATTAAAAGACAATGATTATATTTGGGTCAAGCATTTTAACAATGAAAACGTAATATGGTAAGTACATATTCTAATAATTCACCAAATACATCAGTTAATTAAGAAATAAATACACAAGCAGTGTAAAATCATATACAATAAATATTCTAAAATATAAACAACCAATGTAGTATTATTCAATACTTATACATCAATTTAAGTAAAAATTTCAGGAGTTAAATTGTGTAATCAAAGAATGTAAATGAACACTTTGCACTACATTTGTGCAAAGTTTGTTGAGTATGCAGGCAAAAAAACTGAAAATGGAAGCTAACCCAAACAGATTCACACGTGATGGTTTGATGTTGAGAATGTATTTCAAGCTGAACACAAGTTGGAATTATGTACTGATGGGACTGCTCTTCATACTGTAAAAGGAGAAAGGTCTTGTGCTGAAGTCCATAGGAATGGATCTTTTGTCATCATACTTTGTTTTGAATTCTTGTGTTGTTTGCGAACAGAGAGTTTCCTAGTTGGTTCCACAAATTGCTGTTGGTGAAGAATTTCTTTATCGGAATCAGACCAATCTAGATTTTGTAAATTTCATGTAACGACCCCAAAGATGTGTAGTGTTTGTTCTTCATTTAGACAAGAAAGTACTGAATGCACAAAGATGCCATCATAAATACCTAAACATATCGTGCGCACCGGACAAGCGAGAAACTAGCCTCAAACTGGCTTCTTCTTCATTTGTCCAAAAGGCAGCTAGTTAACATTCCTATATCATGTTAAAAATAAAAATGAAGGTTGGGGCATAAGTGAGACAACTATTTTTTTCTCTGTGAGAGTCTTCAAGAGTACAGAGATGAACACGAAATCAGTTGTTTTACAAGTGCCCGGCGGGATGGATGTAACACAAACAGTACTCCTACTCATCAAAACAACCAATCTCTGTAGAAGAAATGGGCAAAACTGTCACAAGGAATCAGCAGAGCCCGTGAAGTGGGCAGGAGAGTTTCACCAAGTACATGTAGCAGGCAGTACTGGGGTGGGAAGAATTGGGGCACTCACCATTTTCTCCAAGTGACTTTGACCTCATACCAAAGATAAAGGAGCCATTAGACGATAGGCACTTCGTATGACAGGACATTACACACACTGACAACAGACGACCAGATTCATGCATGGTGAGGAAAATGGTGAAGCAGACAGCTTGCCATATCATTGGAAGTGTATTGTTAGCATGGCAACTTTTAGGGCCTTAAGAACAGGTATGTAATGCTTGTGGAATATTGTAAGCTCATACTTACTGTACATATGTATGGAGCATGAAACCAGTCTTACCATTTCAAATACCTTAATAAATATCATAAGCACAATGTTGGAGTATTGTTAAATGGCCCGAAACTTGGTTCATTCCTGGTCCTTTCATTTGTACATTTCACAATTTCTACCTGCACTGCTTTTCTCACAACAAAAAAAGGAAGCAAGAAAATAGTTGCCATTCTGAAAGAATGAATTTCCTGACCTTCATATAACAATTAAAAATAAAACAAGGAGCATCACTACAAGTGTTAATCAACTTCTTAATTCCCAGATTTCTTTTAAATTCCCTGAATTCTTCAAGTTATGTTGACACCCTGAAAACAATTCCTTTGTATAAGCATTTTTCTATTTTTTGCTCCCAATAATTTAGTTAAATTTTCAGAAATATTTCCCACCAGTTTCATGTAATTTAAGTAAAACACACACACCACATACATATATCTATTAAATTAATTTTCAAATGCAAAGCATTACAATTTTTCCACAACAGAACCCAAAACCTACCTGAATTTTTCAAGTGTGTTGACACCCTGAATACAATTCCTTGGTACAAGCAATTTTCTTATGTATTTACAGAGTGCATTCTCCCTCTGTCTGCCTGCTAGGGTCAACTTTTCATAACTGCACTTACCTGAATTGTTACTTTCCTCATTGTTCCAGCTTTGTAATGCGTCATCCACTTCATCATCACTACCCAAAATTGATATTTCTTCACAGACTTCAGTTTTTGGCTCAACTAAACACTCACTCTCAGGTAACATAACTTCAGATATGGGTTCTAATTTAGTTTCACCAACACAATCCATTTGTTCTTCGGTAAAAGAAGGAATTTTTTCATTAGATTCCTCATGCGTTCTAACTGAGTGACTGGGAGCACTGTATGTCTTTTCAAAAGTTGAAGAACTGGCAGATGTGGAACACGATGGAAGATCAGGAATTCTTTCACAGCCTCTGCTGATTATTTGAACACTGGTAAGTGATTCAGCTGCATGTTTAACATCTGAATAGTTGCGCCTCATTCGTTTCAGGGAAGGAGATGAATCTCTGCCATCCTTTACACATTGGCTGACAGATGCTCTATCAACCCCTTCTGAAAACTATAACACACACTTGGAAATGTGCAAGTACTGAGATGAAATAATTTAATAATAATAAATATATTAACATCTGTTGTATTTTATTGTAATGGTTTCTTGACCTTAATAAACAGACTAACTTTTCATAACAATTTATTTATAGTTTTGCAATTAATGTTTTGATTCTATTTGGGGTATTTTTCAAAAAATCTAAAAAATATAATGAAAGTTATATTCAAATGATTGAGAATTATCGCTGGTGAATGTCCTGGGAAGATTCATGCATCATTTTAGGTATAATGCTGTTCGGTCACCATATTCACTTTTCATATGTTGTAAGAAGCCATTAGTCAGAATGTGCTGGTATGGTCAAAACGTCAATTGTATAACATTAAATAAATTATCAAATTAGTTTACAGGATTGGTCAATATGGATAAAGAAACAATTAGTTATACCAACGTTTTGAAATATTTAATTTCTTCATCAGGGCTAGAGTACAAAGACATCACAATTTCGTGATTTCTACAATGGTCAATAAATAAATTGTTATTAAATATTACAGAGCAGTGGCGGCTGGTACTATTAATTAATGAGGGGGCTGCATACAAAAATAAAAAGTGAATTGAGAAATGTTCATTACCGGTGTATGGCTATCGCGAGCATTTACTTTGCACTTCTTGAAGCGTTAAGTTTCTAAATTTCACAGTTTTTTTACATATTGAAATGAATTACTATTCGTATCCATTCTAAACATGAACTAGTGTTGCTAAAACACTTTCTTACTTCTATTTTCTCGCCTGTACTTTCAGGCAAAATTATGCATAAAGTACTCAAAGATTAAAAAAAGGTACTAGATCTTATTTCATAATCTATCTTTAAGGAACAGATTTCAGTAATGAAAAAAAATCTCTTCATCAAGATTTTAGCTTTAGGAAGATATGCCCTTCACACTATCATCCAATAATGAAATTTAATCAAAAACCTCAAAGCCATTAATTTTTAAATTTTGAGAATGTCCCAGGAACTTTATGTGAAGTACCCTCAAAAATAAAATATTAGTTTCAAATTCAAGGGTCCATGTCATAAGCTAGATCAATGGGGATTATCAATTATGGAGAAAATCGGATGAACGGTTTAGGCGCTGGTGTTGTTCACAGACGGCTAGATAGGCGTTGCAGTCATTGCTGTTTTGCCGTAGGTTTCAAGGACCCACAAAACAAGGATTCTGTCTACACCATGTGCAAGATGATTTTCATCCCTAAATTTAGCAACTGAATTTATCCATGTTTTTGTTATCACAGTAATAAGCCTCTTTGACGAAAATTCACTGTTATTTTGCGCTACATTAAATCATTTTTACTCTACTCTGTAACGAGGAAGTAAAGAAATCCTAAGAAATCCCGTGGCACACTCGTGACCCTGGACATCCTGTAACTCCTTCCTCCCATAACCTAGGCTAGAGGGCGAAAAACAACACCAAACGACAAAGATGTATATACAACTGACTTCCTATTGACCCACAATGATCCCAAGAAGGACCCCATTACAATATTCCTTTCCCCTCCTACATCCCATCCCATTCCTCTTCTACATCCTTTCCCTATCCTCCAGTCCCCTAAGTAACAACCTGACACTTCTTTACCCAGACTCTCAACCCTGTCCCTGTATGGGGGGGAGAGGTCGCAACACACCAGTAGACCACCCGACAAAAATCTACATTGACAAAGAGTCTCATTTAAGACCAGGCAAACCATTAAAACACACCCTGGTTTCTGTTCCGTTTTGGTCAGGGAGGGAAAGGGAATTGCAGCAGAACACGGCAGAAGCTTTTCACAACTTACACATGCACCGGCAGTGGGCTATATTGGTCATGTAATTGAATGGAATTGTATTCGACATATTTTATTATAATATCAAAGAAAATTGTGGAAAGGACGGGGGGGGGGGGGGCTGCAGCTCTGCAGCCCACTCCCAAGCAGCTGCCTTAGAGTCTGTTTATTAAGGTTAAGAAACCATTACAATAAACATTATAGAAATTTTATAATTAAAACATAAGATTTAAGTACTGCTTCCGTACATTTCTTTTCTGACCGCCTCCTAAACCTTTAATCTGCAAGCACTCAGCGGCAGATGTGAAATCACCTAGTCGCTCTCCAGGTATTTGCACTCTCCCTCGATATATGAAGTCGATTAAGGCTTTAAGATCTTGGAATTTTACATCTTTCAAAACAACAATAGGGTTTTTCTCATTCTCCTGAGTAAACAACATCTAGAAAAGAAATTTGAAGAATGAATATCACACAAAATTAAAGAAAACAACAACAACAACAACAACAACAACAAACAAACAAACAAACAAACAAACAAACAAACTTTCGGCGACATTTTTTAAACAAGATATGATAGAGGTTGGACTTATTAGATTAAAAAAATTAATAAAATTCAGTAAATGAATTTATCCTGCAGGATTTTAACCCTTCGACTCTTTTTCTTTTACATTCCATGGATTCTGTTCGGGGTCACATTTGGCCTTGAGCATTTTACACAATAGTTCACAAGCATTTGATGCATGGAGGTTATTTGGAATTATTAATTCAGAAAGTGATGCTATGTATTTGTTTTTAGATAAATACTCCAAATTATCGCTCTGAAACTGCAACATAATACCACAGAAGGGAAATGGACATGTATTACAAATTTTTCTTTTGTAATTTAGACATCAAATATGGCATTTCTGTCTCCAACCACATACAAATCAAAATATTTCCAACAATGAAACAACAACATAAAAAACTGTTAAATCAACATCACATGTAAAATTGGAAATAAATAGCATATCTGAAAGGAAAAGTTCATGTTAACAAGATTCAGTGAGTTGCAATACCTTATTCGCCCCTGGGGCCAAAAAAAACAACCCAAACAGAGTCTAAGGGTTAGACAAATATAATAATGTTGTACCTCGAAATATGGGCTACATGCTGACAACACAACTTTGTGGGCTTTCAAATACTGTCCCTCAGCAGCAATAGTACAGTCCACTAGTGTGCTATTTTCTAACAGCTTCTCAAAAACTCCTATGAGAGTTTTATGATGTTCATCCCAACTCAGGCACAATTCTTCTGCACTCATCTTGAAACCACCTAGAACATGAAATAGTGAAATGGGTTAGCAATTTTAATTTCATCTTCAGGGGAGACAATTTTCCTCGATCCTAAAACTAGAGGATTGATTAATTAGATTTAATTGAAATCCTGGCATCCTCATCCAAATAAATGTAGAACCTTTTCATGCATTTCAGATTTTTAAAGATTACTTTTGGATATTTAGGAATTTTGGATATTTGGATATTTAAAGTTGTTTTTTTAAAGATTTAAGAATTAATCTTGAATGTTGAGAAAGTTCACAATTATTACAAAACTAATGGTTTCCAGAATACAATTTCTGTGAGAAGATAATACATGATTGTTGGTGAAAAAGAAAAAAGTAGAAATTTTTTTTACAGAACAAACAGTAATGAACATAGAACCTCTAAAAATTTGTCATGACATCTCTTGAAAATATGTTAGACTACTTATTTAAAGTCATCCAGGAGAAAAAAATGTCGATGATATAATCACTAGAAACAAAAGTAAAAATAACATTTTTAACCCATTACATCTACTCTTTTCATAATACACTCTTGATTTGTATTATCACACTGTCATTCCATTGTTTTCTAGTTAAGAACAATATTATATTATATTTACGGATATATGTTAGATATCATTGTTTGTTTGTTTGTTTTAAATAATATGAACTTTTCACTCTTTTCTTTGAGTTAAAATGAAACAAATGCAGTTCTGTAGAAAGTTAAATTACAGAACACGAAGTTGTATTTAAATATGTTCAAAACACACAGAAATTTTAAAAGATCTAACCATCCGTTTAATTAATAAAATGCACACAAGCAAATTTTAACACTTCTTGAACATCTGAAACCTACATAACTATGGATTATTATAGATCACAGAAAAAAATATGATACATATTATTTTATAATCATATATTTCTCATTATATATTATACAGTTGGATAATATTTTTTATTATTATAAAAAATATAAAAGTTTTCATAAATGAATAAAAATTAATAAAATTCAACTGAACTATAACATTAAACCAAATATGAATGAAATATTTTATATTTCAGTCACATTACTTAAATACCAAGTAGTGTGCATAAACATCACAAAAAATTGTTTCCAATGGATTATTTTAAAAATAATTATTTTCTATTAATTTCCTTAAGAACAGTGCACACCAACTTTTGATCCCTTTATAAAATCCTATATCCACAATGTATATATTAAAAATTCTATTTAAATAATAAAGAATCTAGTCATTTCTGGAACCGAAAGCAAATGAAATGTTTCCGTCTGTTTTCAAGCTTCATAAATTTTTGCACCTTGTTGAGCAAGATTCACATTTTAGGGAAAGAGTGGCAGCATTAGACGATCATACATCTAAAAGATGATAATTATCTTGTGTTATATTGAGCAGAAAAGGAGGCTACATTCATTTTAACCCTTCCAAATTTGGGCCAAGAATTCTTGTAGAAACTAAACAAATGTTAAATTATGCACTTTGGAAATATTTAAAACTGTTTGGAGTCTTTTCAAAATCCAAAACAAATATTTTATTAAAAGACACTGGAATGTTATTTAAAATTGTTTGATATTTTTTGAATTGCCCTAGTACAGCATTTTATAAGATAATAAAACTCTAACATTCGACATTCTATTTTATACAGTGCTCCTCTTTACTACATACATTTTTGTCAATGCTGTACATTTTAAGTAAAAACTCCTCATTAGGGCTTTTGACAGCTGTGCACGGAAATTAAAGACAATCTGGACAATACACACTAGAAGAATTTCACATTTTAATGATTAATAAGCTACTGAATGTTACTAAAATATCTCTAATTGCTTGTGCACGATAATTATTTTTTAACTTGTCTCCTGGACACTTTGGCATCGGTATAGAAAAAATTATGCAACGAATAACAATTACTCAACACGTAAAGGAAGGTAACTTATTGGGTCATTCGTAGCTCGGGAACTGGTAATATCATCCTCTCAGAGACTAAGTATCTATTTAACAGCTTTTATTATAAATTATTATTATCTGTGATAGAAAACTATTTCTATAAGCAAGAAGCAATGATGTAATTTAAACGATAAGTTTTTTTAATAACTTTTCATAAATAAATTATTTAATATATCAGCTTTGATCCTACCCACTTTAAATTTTATAATGTAGATTATTAAAATTATTATCGGTATAATTTTGATTATGTAAGCAAATTGTATGAAACCAGGATGTTACCTCTCAATGATAAATACACTGTATTATTAATATGCTGAATTGCAGGAAGATACCGGGAGATAAAATCCAAAATGGAACGATAATATCAGTGGTAGAATTTTGATTTAATCCATGAACATTAGGAAAACTGGGAATTACTGTTTCATAAGATCTGAAATAAAAAAACGCATATCCTACATTACTAAAAAATGTAACAAGCCATCTCCATTTTGAGAAAAACTTTCAGAACAAATTATACATAATAAAATCTAAATAATAATAATAATAATAATAATAATAATAATAATAATAATAATAATGATAACAGCATCAATAGTAATTTGTAACTTATTTTGAACATTTAAGTACTGTATACATCATGTACACTTCCTTCTGAGACAATGTCAAAAAAAACTATTTTATTCAGATACAATGTGGAAAAGCCCTAATTAATCATGTTTTCATGTCTCCCAATAGTTGAATTTGATACAGAAGAACTTGAATAAGACGTCATTGAAAAAATGTGATGCTGTTGTTGTTGTTTTTATAAAACTAAAATACACAATGGTATGATTTAATTTGGGTCAGTTTTTATTTCCAAACAAACACCTTTATATTCCAATTAAATATTTAGCCAGTATTTAAATGGTAAACTATATCTTAATTATTATAAATATTTAATTTTGAATATTAAATTTTAATGAAATGTTTTATTTAAAATAAAATTTTAGCAATATTTTTTTATGTTCATTAAAATAATATTATAGTGTAAATATCATACTATGGGTCACTTTTTCAACAACCTAATACTATTGCAATCTTTCGTATCTCGATATCTGAGTACAAGTTACAAGCTACTTAGTTTTCAAATGTTCTCTGTGGTTAAGTGCTGCACGTTAATTGTAGCTATGCATTAACTAATTAACTTGTGAATTTTATTATTTAAAGAGGTAGTGATAAAAAAATTAAAAATTTTAATTAAATACTTCAAATAATTAAAGTAATAATTTGAAAATTAAAGAAAAAAGATAATGGACTTAAATTATTGTATCCTATTTCTAAAATTTGTTAATAAGGTATCATTCCAAATAGGGTACAGAATAAAGTATAATAATAAGGCATCTAAATCACCAACAGATTTTAATAATGTTTAGCATCTTAAGGTCTCTAAAACACGAAAAGGAGCTCTTAATAATAATAATAAAAAAATATATATGAAATTTATTATTAATGATGTAAAAACCTCTATGACGATATTCCCTATATTGCTTTTAAAAAAAATCTCAAAAACATGAATGGTATTGTGAATAATGACATTCAATCCCAGAATATGAGTCAATCTTACTACAATAGATCCTATGGCTTTAATATTACTCAAGCACACTGAATTTAATTATTGTGTTCTAATTTCAGGTTCACCAGAGGAAATAGCTCAGAATTAAATATAATTCATTAGTATTGTTTACATTCTTATGATTTTGGCAATATTTTTACACACTACAAAATACTTTAACCATTTGTTAAATATATAATGCATGTCAATAAACATTGTTAGCATTATTTAGCTGCCAAGTAACATTTTATTCACTCTTTTACCTGAAAGTTTTGACCCACTTACCTCTCAGAAACAGATGATTTTCAACACTAACCAAACTTTTTCACTTGTCAATACAAGGACACAAATGTATGTTGATTTGAAAATCAAGGAATCTAATATTCAATTATTAGGTTACTCAAATATTAAAATTATATGTCTTCCCAAGAAGTTATGAACATACAAATAAAAGCACACTATCTCTAAAACATTTAAACATCCAACACCACTATTCGAAAAGCAGTTTGCGGTTATGACCCCAATATTTTAAGGGCATGGCAATTTCTAAAACGAGCAACAACCAACTGAACTGCAGGAAGAACACCATGAAAATCACATTTAATACCTAAAATACGCGCCTGTCAGATCGAAGAACAAGTATTAAATAATTCCCGATGTTGCGTTGTCTCAACTTTTTTGTTGATAACCCTTACAGCGTGACCAACATTTCAAGACTTCGCTCTTCTACAAAAATATAATTATCAAATCAAGTTATACGAAATTCGCTTCCTTTTGTTTATTTTCTCGTACCTCCCTTTTAATGTAGCTTGTTCCTTCTGAGCCTTCCCCCGCAATCCATAAAGAAAAAGTAACAGCTTTTGAGAGTTGGAGAAAGAAGTTTTCTGTTTTCAACAGTTGTTCGATCATCAATTCAAATATGGGGCATTATTTCATTCCGCGCTTATTAGACAAAACATCATTAAATCCTTCATAAACAACACGTGTGTGAGTGAATTGTTTCCGTAAAACACAAATGGCTTTCGTTTACTACGATAGTTACGAGCTACAGAGACCACATTGACTGCGAACTATACACAAATTGCAGAGAATTGCAACCGATTCAAGTGGTTCAGGCATATTTTTCCATCATCAATATAGTAGTCGTAAATTAAAAATAAAACTAATGGGCAACGTTTTCAATCATCTTTTCTTTACAATAAAATCGTGAAATAGCTCTACCGGTTATGGAAACAAGTTAATTTGGTTGCATCAAGAACATAATTCGTAACAGCTAACTTCGCAGTTTTCTACTAAAGTTATTTTCGACGACCGGGAGTAAGGTCCGCCACACGCAGCACGGAGTAATGTTGGATTGATTGATTAGTGTTTCCAGGCGCGGTAATTGCTCTGGTCGATAGTTCCATAGTACGTGATGTTGATGTTGTAACCCGAGAGGTAGCGTGAGATCT